AATGCAACTAAGGAACTTTTATTAGATTTTTCTTACACTATTAGTTATTATTTGGCGTCAACTATCATACCATGTATCCAGTGTGTTCCCGGATAAGTGAAACGGCGACTCTTGTTAAAGATAAAAATCTCCATTTTAATTTTAATTTTTTGGAATTCAGCTCTGCTTGCTTAAAGACTAATTTCCAACATAATTGTAGTTTAGAAAAATCATGTACGCCTTGGAAATTTTCAAAAAAACAATTTTTTGTTATTTTTTGTAAAGTGGCAAATACGACAAAAAGTTATTAATAAAAAATGTTTACAAATAACATCTAGGGACCGCTACCACATCTCAAAATCATCAACCAACTATAATTTTTCATTTTTTTACGTTAATTATTTTACAAATCAAAGAATTTTATTTTTAATAGTTTTTTATTATGATTATTTTTTTCAGTACAATTAAAAAATTATAATTACTACAGCCATTATTTGCAAATGTCAAAATTTTTCCGCGGCTAAAAATGTGTCAAAATTTAATCGCTTCTGACTTTATTAGTTACTAATATCAAAGATGCTTGGACGAGCAAAAATTTTCAGTTGCATAGATACGAAACATAGTGAATACAGATAAATTATTTGTTAAATTTTTGAAAACGATTTATCTCCTCTGCAATGTTCCGTTTCGGAGTAAATTCTGGTGTAGTAATAATAATTTGTTCCAAAATTTATTATTTATTCAGGAAATAAGCATGCCGAATATCCCGCGTGCTTACAAATAGATAAAATTTTGACGTTTTTTGTCAAAACCATAGGTCAAAAGGTTTTGCTAAGAAGAAATATTTCTCGTCAATTTTCCACCGAAAATACCTAGGGATTTTGTTACATGGCAAATTGACTCTACATATTTCTAAGCAAAATATTTTGACGAAAACGTCAAAATTTTATGGGCTATTTTTATGCACTTGGTTTATTACTGTTGAATAAAAAAATAGGACAAAATTTGCAAAAAAATAAAAACTGTAATAGTTATGCTTTTCCGAGTCTCTGAAAGCCTAAAATTTTCTTGTTATTTTACAGCACTGCGTGCACAAAATTCCACAAATGCAAAACATTTTAGTTTTGAACATTATTTGTGCTTTGCTTCGAGCTTCAGAATAAAAAACTTCACGCTGTATCATTGTATCTACTGCACGTATAATGTAAACAATTATTACACAATTTTACAAAAGAAAATGAAAAATCCGATGGTGGCCGATGATTTTGAAATTTGGTATAGGAGTCAATTGTTGTTGATGTTAAACAACTTTTCTTAATAACTTTTTGTTGTATTTGCCACATAAAAGACACTTGGCTCTACAGAAAAATACGCTTTTTGAACATTTTCAAGGCAAACTTGATTTTTCAAAATTAAAATTATGTTAGAAATTAATATTAATATAACCAAGCAGGGCTGAACCTCAAAAATGAAAATTTTGACCGAAATTTTTTTATCGTTTCACCTATGCGGGGACATACTGTACGTATATAAAAATTTCCGGGAAAATTGTCTGGTTGTCATTGACACAATCCAAATTTGAGTTTTTCTATTGTTCCTCACATTGTCGAATCGCACTACAATGTGGAGAACCAATAGAAAAACTCAAATTTGGATTGTGTAATAAATTTATGGCTTGGAGCGTTTTTTATAATCCAGACTGTATATTAATTGCTCTTAAGACGTTGCAATGCTTCTTTGATCAAAATTTAACAATTTTTGTTATCAGTCGTTTGCTTGTCTTAGATCGAAAAAGTGAATAAAAACGTTTTATTCTTTCCACAGCCTTCTTTATTTAATTAAATGTTCAAATTGTCTAAAAGCAATAATAATTAGTGATAAATAGTTGCGAGCTTGTTGAAAGACAATTTGTACTGGGGGGTACCAATAAATTATGTAGAATCATATCTCGGTACCAAAATTTTAGAATCTTTGGTAGGTAATTTGGGTAGGGTTGTATTATTTTTCAGTATTTAGTTTTTGAGTTTTTAATAAAATAAATTTTAATGCATGTTTTAAAAAAACACTAATCAGATATTCCCGCTTTTCTGACAAATATAAACGCCATTTGAACACAAACAAAAGATTGTAACTATTTATATGTCATTGTAATTGGAATTTCCATTAACTAAGCATTGAATTTATTTTCATATGTGTATGTTTGTGAAAGAATGACGACAGTATAGCAATAAAAAAGTGAAATTGCAAATCGATTAATTTTTTAGCTCGATTTAAATTTGTTTGTTTTAGCTATTTCTTCTAAATTAACGTTTTTTGTATTATTTGCTGCTAGAATTATGACATATGTATTTAGTGCAGTTTATGTGAATGTGAATAATTTTTATTACATTTACTTGTTTTGCATTGGCATTTCTTTCGGCGGTTTAATAAAAATTCATTAATTTTTTGTTAAATAGACAACTATTTTTTAGATTACGAATATAGGCAACCAATAATGCAAGAATCAAATAAAACTTGGATAGAATAGAATTCCAATTTTGAATTGACCTTAACTTTAAATAAAGATTCCAATTACATACTCTAAGACAAGGTTTTCCACCGTAATTTTTATTTTATTTTTTTTTGTTTTTCTTTCTCACTTTTCTTTAGGGAATTGCAATATTATTCCTGATACTTACATCGTTTTCTAATTTCGAGTAATTTACTAAATACGTTTTATAAACAGACCTCGAGAGTTTTTTTGAGAAAACCCATAAAACTTGGAATATTTACGAGGGTCAAGTCAAGCCACCCCCGAGTGGTCGATGATCGAAACCAAATGTCTTTTAGACTGTGAGAACCAATTCTCCAAAAATCGTCGAGTTAGAATTAGTTTTAACCCACACTTCATCGGGGTAGTTTGAGTTCGAGTGTGAGTGTTTATCACAAATTATTATTCAAAGGTGAGTTTGTCACTGAGTAATCTGGGTTCCATTGGTGTGAGTGAGTTATCACAGAGTAATCTTGGTTCTATTGGTGTGTGATGTTTTCCAATTCAATAAGAGGTAGAGATTTATGATATTTGCCATATCAACGGTAGGGTGAGTCGTTTAATAATTATTTTAATCGCTGTGATGTTGATATTTATCATTGTTGAAAACATACATCAGAAACCTGTGTGAGTATTGAGTAGAGTATCAAACTGTAGTTGATTTGATGCGCTATAAATCAGTTGATGGTATTTAATTGGAAGATATTGAAGTTGATAATATTTTATGAGATTGATATTTGAATTGATTGTTGATAATTGATGAATATTATTAAGTTGAGCCCCGACATGTCGACCTAAACTATTAGTCTGTCTATCCTCCTTTATCCACGGCTAGTCGTCGAGCAGGACGGGTCAGTGGGATACTACCTGTCCATTGCACCGCTGAGTCTAGTCCAACAGGGGACTCTGGAGGGTCACGGCGTCGTGAGGCCTCCAGGTCTGGTTTTTGTTTTGTTTGTGGGGTTAGCACTCTGGAGCGGCCACCGCACCTGCGCCCATTGCACAACCAGGTCTAGATGCAGAATA